TGATATAATTCAATTCTTTTGCAATTTTATTAAACCTTTCTCTATTCTTAATATCGTTGCATAAGTTCAGCACGTCGGAACGATCACTTACTCGCATTCGATGTCCAAGTTCAAGCGTCGTTTGATTTTAAATCGTTTCATGGAAGCTCGTAAAAAGTCTCTGGAGCTCGCGTTACACAAAGCGAAAAGATTCACAGGCTCGTTTATTGGCAACGCGTCTAGCGACGCCAAAGGTGCTTCGATTCGATGGCATTCAACTCTTAAATTATTACTCAGTTACGGGGGTTTTATTGCTCCAATAATAAAAGCAAGCGATATCGTCATCCACCTTACTCCCTTCTCTGGATCCTGTGTGTATATGACATTGCGTTATTGCGACGAAATATGATCGTTACAGTACTTACTCCAGCGCTCCCATCGGGCGTTTTTAGCACTTTTGTAGACCACGTGACTTTCTGTTTCATGCGGGTTAAGTTAGTTACCAGCATCGAAAATGGCTGACAAGTATTATCCTATCTTTTATTTCTTATCTTTTCGTGTGCAATCTTGAAACATAATGATGGATATAATAATAATATATAAATTAAATAATATATAACTTATTTAATTAATGTTTTTTAAATCATTTTAAGAATAACAATAAAATTGTGGTAAATAGTTTAACAATTTTTTAATTTTTTTTTCTTATCTATTAATAAAATAATAATCTATTATTTAATAAAAAATAATATACATACAATTTAATGTACAATGGTTTTATTTCATGATTTATCGAAATCAGTTTTAATCAAAGGAGAGTTTGAAAAATACATATCATGCTGTAATTTTATATATTTTAAAAAATTTAATCAAAATATTCTTAAAATATTAAATATATAAATATATTCTACTTTAATAAAAATTAATAAAAATACCTTCATTTGAAAAAAATTTATTTCTTAAATGAAGATAAAAGGAAAAATATAAATTTATTTGTATGATCCTCAAATAAATAACAAATAATAAATTCATTAAAGGACTTAAATTTTCATAAATTCAATATACAAATTCAATATATTACAATGATATGATTAAAGATATAAAATATAAATCTCTAAAAATAAATCAATAATCAAGATTAAAACTCCGCGAATTATACAGTGAATTGGATTCGATATATTTGTACGCTCAAAATAATGGTTCATGGAAATCGTTCTTTTATCGAATTCAATTCGTTACAAGTGACGATAAAATATACCTATACCAATATTTCTCAACATCAATCATTCGAAAGTCGCTTAATCGTTTTATCGTAAGATTGTTGTGTTTTTTAACGAACCATGATATTTCGAAAAGCAATTTAAACAATGGTTTAAACGATTAGTTGGTTTTCGACAATCGATATTCCGATTACATATATCAAAAACCACTTTTGATCGTATTGCATCAATCATCGTATTGGATATCTCGATTGCAAGATTTTCAACTGCGATATGCGAAATATCTCGTTGAAAATATTGCCTAACCAAATTGTTTGGTGTTAACTATTTCATTGCATTCATTAATTCATTAATTAGTTTGTTTTACGATTGTGGCAAAGGACATAAATTCACGAACGATGGATCGAATTTGTAATTTATGCATTATAAAGCTGCATACAGATTGCGTATATAATTACAGAAAACAGTAATAGTTTCAAAATAAAATAAGTAGTCGAAATAATGTTTCTAATGTATTCTCTATAATTTTATGTAATTATTCAGTTTATTTTTTTTCAGATAGAGACAATACTAAGGAGTAAGAAGATAATGAAATTAATGGACTTGAAACTTTATTAAATCAAAATTATTGGGGAATTTTCTGCGTTGATCTGTGATGACATCACTAAGATACTGACGTAATGGAGAATAGTAGAGAGGAAACTATTAATATGGTGGGGGACACATTGCTTGGCAACACGATACAATAATTCATCGCAGTATCCGCAGTATCCAATAATTTTTTTTCTACTACTTTCTATTACGTTAATACCGCGATGACATGACGTCACGCATAGAAAATTTTCAAGCAATTTCATTGAATCTATTACATTGTCTATTACTTGTGATTATCTGTCGCTCTATCCATTCGAATAATTGAGAATTGCTATATGAAACATATGGTTGAAAAAGAGAGTCGCTTATCACTAATTTTGGTATATTTTTTGGCAAATAGCGCATCCATATAAAATGAGAAAAATCTTTTTTGCATAAACGAATATGACAATCCAATAGATATTAATAGATAATAGACTCGAAAGAAAAATTTTTATGACATATTATTCTTATGATTAATTTCTTCGTAAGTTAATGAAATGATGATAAAAATTTGAGATAATTTGATTTTCTGATGATTACGATTATCTGTTAGAAATATATAAAACTTCGATACAAATGCAACATTGGTCTTGTATTATATTATATTGACATTCCATAACTGTAGGCAAATAATTTTTTCTCTTGAAAAATCTGATAATTTAAGATGTTATAATTCACGATATACATATATTATCATTTATTTAACGTAACCGTTATTAAATCCCTGAGATATAGAGTTTTCATGAATCGTACTTCACTTTGTACATAGCTTAATGCAAAATGACAGTCGAGTTCCGCATGAATAGATCTTTCGATTTAAATACATTAATTGCTTCCGCTTTTTTTCGCACGACGAGCATAGTATTGATGCGATAATTGATAAATGTAATTAAAAATTAAATGATAATTAAAAATTATATGAAATTTAAAAAAATAATTTGAAAATTTTCAATTTAAATGTTCTACATGAAATATCTAATAATATCCTAATTTAGTAGAAAATTTATATTAATCTAGAGATTTTTCTAATTCATTATATAAATTTCCCAGTTTTTATGAATATGTATAATAATGTTTTTATATACAAAAGATTTTTTCACAAATTATGAATTTTATTTTTTTATTTATTTATTTTTTATTAATTAATTATTTATTTATTTATTTATTAATTATTTATTTTTTATTTTTCCTTCGTATTTATACATGATTAAAGATTTTTGAACGTGAATTAAATTACATAAATTAAATTTTTTTTTTTTGGACAATTATAATTGGAAAATTATTTATCTTTATACAAAGTTTTTATTTTTTAAGTTTCTCTATGAATGAAAATTTTGATAAATTGAAACTTCTGTAACAAAAAAAAACTAACTTCATTGTTATATACATATATTATATATATATATATATAACAATGAATATATAAATGTATATATGTATATATATTATAATTTTCACCCAAGGATTGCTTTATATTTTTATATTTTGAATATGAAGAAATATTCAAATTACAATATATGGATACTGAATTTACTGGAAATCATTTCAAACTAAAACTAACTACTTATATATAAAAAGGAAAGTTACTGAAAATGATATGAGTCTTTATTTCAAGTCATCGTATCAAGTAACGAATTAATTGTATAATGGATAACATACACAATTCATGTGATCACGTTAATCAATTGAAACCGAATCTCCCTGAGCGCAATATAAATTTCGATTTCGGACTTCGTTATCGAATAAATTACATAAACGCTTCGTATTTTCCATAATATTATATTACCGCATTTATATGTCGTATTTTCATTTTGTTGCTGTCCCGCATCCATATCTAAGGAAAATTTTTCTTGTTTTTAAATTTTCAAATTCGATATTCATATATGATAAGTTTTCATTTAAATCGATTGATTTAAAAAATTAATGATATTGAAAATTTAATATTTTATACAAAAACTAAATGATTTGAATGATATATTAAGATTTTGAAGATATCAGATATTTTTTTTCTAGATAGAGAACATTTGGAAATTAATTAATCTTTTTTTCAAATTGAAGAATTATCATATTTTTGTATACTTACTATATCAATTTATATATTTAAATGTTATATTTTATTTAAAAAATCAAAATTGCAAAAATCTTTAAATATTCTTTATAATTCAATAAAAAAAATTTTCAAATATATAATTTTTAAATCATTTCTTATCTAAAATATTTTTCGACATATTCGATATATTCGAGTGGGTCGATTTAAATGAAACATTTTATATATTCACGAATAATTATTATTTAACGAAATAAATAATACGGGAAAAAACAATGCATATTGTTACTAATAGCTTTTATTCGAAAATATTTCTTATAGATGTAATAAATTTCAATTCGATCGTTGTCCCATAAACACAATATACAACCTATGCGATAATGTACGAAATAACATCGGAAACGATCTTATCGATTTACCACGATTTAAGCCTTTATCAGCTCAGGTACGCGATCTCACGAATCGATGACAAATTTCAACAAATCTGGTAAATCAAATATGTATAACTCGATCATATGTCCGTTCAAATCGAAACAATACGAATATTCCAAACGATTTCATTTCTATGGCGCTGTGTTTTATCTATTTTACAATCTTGTGGTTCGAAATGTATCAAATCAAGTTAACATTCATGCAGAATTTCATCAACAGAAAAGTTCTTTAAAGTTGGAGGAAAATGTTTACTCGAGATTATTAAAGGGAAAAGTGGATGGAAAGAGAATTGTGGATGTTTAAATTGCAAAGAAAAAAAAAGGAATAACACGTGTATTTTCAGAAACAGCAATTTCAATAGACTGTTTATCAAGCATCCCATACATCACCGTGCAATGCATCTTCGGCTCAATGGTGCTTGTTAAATGTAGCGGTACAAATTCGGAATCGATACCATTCTGAAAATGTATCGTCCTATTGTGCCTTATTCTTGTTCCAATATTTCACGTTAAAACGGTATTAAACGAAACTACGATTTATTTCAAGATATTTATAAAAAAAATAAAACAAAAAAATACTTTTGCTTCTTAAAAATTATATGAATTAAGAAATCCTATCGTTCTATTTAACATTTTTTTATTTTTTTATATTTTCCAATATTTTATAAGTTCCATATATATTTTGCTTTATACAAAATAAGAAAATTTAAAAAATAATTTAAAAAATTTAAGAACATTTTTATTTATTTATTCTGAGAAGACAAAATTTCAGATTCATTTTGACGTACTAGATAAAATATATTAATTAAAAAGAATACTATAAATATTTATAATATAATATTATTAACTACAATATATTTTCAAATAATTATATTCTATTTGATATATTCATTTGATAACCAAATGTTAAGTTTGTTGATATAGTTAATCAATTTTTTAATAATATCTGGATTAGATATTGTTTGCGTCAAGATCTCTCTTAATTTTCCTGCAAATTGTTAGTCTTATTTGCTAAGTTACATAAAATTTGCGCAATTTTTGGATTTTTTGTGACAAAATATAAAAGAAAGACCAATATGATGATAATTGCAATAACGAAGAAGATACAACACGTTATGCAATTACCTGAAAAATACGAAATTAAATGTCATTTTAATATATATTAATTAAATTCTGTATGAATTTTAGAAAATTAAATAATTCTTAATGATATGAAATTAAATGTCATTTTAATATATATTAATTAAATTTTCTATGAATTTTAGAAAATTAAGCAATTCCTAATGCTATATATTAAGATTTTGAAAATATCAGAAATTTGGTAAAATTAAATTTCATCTGAATATAAATAAAAATTTAAATAAATAAAATATTTTAGAAGATTACAAAATTTCTGATGGCAACAGAGATAAAGAAAAGATTCGAAAAATTCTATAAATTTTACAGATTTCATAATCTGAATCATCATTTTACAATTTCAAGGTCTTTAAATATAAAGGTCTACTGTCAAGATCTTAAGATTTTGAAAGATCATAAGAACATAAAAATCATATTTCTCAAAAACCTCGAGAATTCCTCGAATTTTTTAAATAATATGAAGAAATTCAAAGGACATCAAGCATTCAAGAAATTTTTAAAATTAAAAAAATTTCGAATACCATGAATAGGAAATTTAATTCACTGATTTCCATTGCATACCTAGTGTGCACTTTGTATTTCGTTTAATTCTTTTTGTAACATCTTCCTCAATAAGTTTTATTTCGTCAATGACTTTCTCGTTTGATTTGTAAAATGGATTATACGGTGGTTGTTGCATATAAGGATTATTGGTAAATTGTATCGTGGCATTAGAATCCTCCAAAGATGATCTAATTTCAGATGTTATTCCATCCTCTTGTTTTTTATCATTTTGCGAAGTAGACTGTTGATATCCTCTTAATAGATAGATATCTGTAAATTATAATTTTAATTTTTATTAATTACAATTAAATATATAATTGAATCGAATTAGTCGTCGATTATATTTCTAATTTCACAAAAAGATTTTCACAAAAAGAAGAATGAAACCATATCGCAAAAAAAAATCTTCATATTATTAAATTAAAGTAAAAATATAAAAAAGAATAAAGTTTAATTTATTAAAAAAATATTTTTTTTATAATTTTATATTCTTTTTCGCGTTCAATCTCTAGATAATTTTTCTACAAAAACAGTGTAGTTAGAAAATATTTTGTGATTACTAAAAATATATATTATAATTATATAATTACTAAAAAAATTATTAGTTATTTAATTTTTTTTTCTTTTCAATATCTGTTTACAATTCAAAATTTCTATATGAAACATGAATATCCAAAATCTTTGTTTTTAAACATGAAAATATAAGATACGTTAATAATATCCCACGTATTCCAATCATTATTAAAAAAGAAAAAAACAATATCAATCATTTCAAAACAAATAATGAACAATGATAAAAAAAAAAAGAAGACTGCAATATCGTCTATGAACATGGTTTATCACAAGCGATATATCCGAAACACGCGGGTCAGACTAGCTGGCGGTGTTTCACAGAGACATCATAGGTTTATAGATCAGTCGGAGCCAAGTGGTGTCGGTGATTCTCAATCGGGGCGGTACTAACGCGGTCACATCTCCGTGCCAAAAAGTTGGCGCGTACGCGCGTGGTGTTCAGTTGCAAAAATAGAAGGGGTAAAAGCATGGACAAGGACGAAGCGAGAGAGAAAGAAAAGAAGGAGACAAGAGAGGAACAAAGATAGAGAAATATATAGAAGCCAAGAGGAAGAGAGAGAGAGAGAGAGAGAGAGAGAGAGAGAGAGAGAGAGAGAAAGAGGCGAGGAAAAATGGGTCGGCGCCGGACTTTAATCAATGATTTCGGCGCCAACTGGACGACGGGACGCGTTTCTGCAAAAAAAAAAATGCGCGGATGGCCAACGAACATGATAATAATTTGAATCATCATTCGATTTCATCATTGATTCTGTGTTATCAGTTTAATCATGAATAGCCATAATTCGAATAGTCATACCAGAATCATTGTATCGTATTGCATTATTTCATATACTCTATTTTCCGTATTTTTTTATTCTATTCACTGTTTTCACATCAGTTTCTTTTTTTTTATATTTCCTCTCGAATTTTTTTCGCACTTCTTTCATTTTTTTTTTTTGTTTTCTCAGCGTGTATCAAGTGTTATATTCAGTGATTCGTTGCAAACGCGATAGCAAAAAAAAAAAAAGAAAAAAGTGTGATGTAGTGTCAGCGATGTCATCGCGGTTAAATCAAACTTTGCTTCGCCAAGCACGAAGGAAAAGTATGGATTGGCTGGACTGCATTTCTGTTCACGGTTCTGAAAATTCATGCGTAGAAACGCAATGAAATCTCGAAATCTCAATGATTGTAAGAGATCGAAACGATAACGCAAGTGCGAATTATATCACCAGTTGCTGCTTTTAATTCGACGTCAATATTGCGCTAGATGATTCCTTGAATGAGATCTATTTGTCATTGATTCTAATTAGTTTCTTATGCCTGATGCGTGCATTGTATTATAAAGATATCGTAAATATTTTGCAGGAAATTAATTGTTCGCAGATATAGATTAGATTAATGTAATTGCATTAGAAGGTTATTCAAATGATGTTTGCATTCTTATCGATTGAGTCCTCCAAAATGCGTTCTTATATATATACTATAAGTAATACTAATAGTACTAATAGTCTATACTAGTAGTATCTTATACTAGTAGTACTAATATCTATAAAGTCAATTTCGAGACAATTGAATTAAAATGAATTAAATATTTTTATATCATAATGATTTTTATATCAAATTTTATATCATGATGTGGCATCACATTATATATACAATTATAATAGATTAATAGATTTATAAAAACATATATATACCTATAAGAGGTACATGTATATACAATATTTTTGCTCTAAATCTATTAGTTGAGAAATTATTATTAAATGTTTTCTGAATTACTTGAGTGTATTTGCAAATATATTTATGTTTATGATATAATGCACTATAATGTATATAAACATGAATTGACCTGATATATGTATATTTTACTAAATAATGTTAAAAAAAGAATGGAAAAATATTTTAGAATGCAAAAATAGTTATTTGTAATAATATAAGTAATATCCGTAGATTATAATATAGTAAATTTTTAACTGTAATAATTTTAATTAATAAACTTAGAGCAAAAATGTATGAATACTTTTTTGTAAAAATTAAAAAATTAGATTAAGATTTTTAAGATTTCATTAAAAAAAAAAAGATTGCATATTTCAAATATATAAAACTATAATAAAATTATATCCAGATTATACTTCATTAAATATAATTTAATTTTAATTCAAATTTATTTTTATTTTTAACCTTAAAAGAGCCTTAACCTTAGCAATTCTATGGGACAGTATATATATATATACATATGTATGAAGTATATCTTATATAAAATTTTTGTTAAGATTCTAGCTAATATAAATGCTCTAAAAGTTAAAAAAAATATAAGAATGAAATATTTTAAAAACTAAAAGAAGATGAATTCCGAAGAATGTAACTGTATTAAAATCATTAAAGTTGTTGGCACGTTTAGATTATTCCAATTATTATTCCTTGATGAAAACACTTTTAATAAAAACTATTAATAGAAATCTAATAACGAATACTATAAATAATATTATGAATAATAATAAGTTGTTATATAATTAATAAATTATATATAAAATATATTATATTTATAATTTATGATGATACCTATATATAATTATAGATATATATATATAAAAACTTAACATTTTAAAAATAAATCATATTCAATTTGATATTAAAATAGTTTTTAAATGTTTATGATATTTGTTTACTGATATATCATATTATAAGTTATTTTAATGCAAGATGTAAAAAAGATTTAGTATAAACATAATATTTAATTTGTTTACGATTGAAGTTGATGATCATGCAATAATAAAAAACTACACATTAACATTAATCTATCACTCGAAGTGCAGTGCGCAATGTAAAAATTTTTCAATCGTTTGTGGTTCTTTAAAAAGAGTCATTTGTATTCTATCCATTGCTTTCTACGCTAATTCATACATTAAACATAGCTTCACGTAGACATAAATATAAAGACAAAATCATTTAATTTAAATCTACGATTTCTTGACAACGTAAACGAAAAACATCATTGAGAATACGTAAGTACATATTATATTTTTTGATATTCTTGTCGGCAAAGATTTATTTTATTGTGAAATTAATATAAATAGATGCTTATTCAAGACTTTGGCGAAACGTTCAAGGTCGACTTTTATGTTATAACGCAATAATTCCTCCACAAAAGTTTTGCGATTTATTATAATTAATCTCAAAAATGAATAAATAAATCGGTATCTTCTTACATTTCAGTATAAAAATAACAATATTATATGATTATAATAATAAAAATGTCAGTTTAATACAAAAATTTCTTAATAATTTTTCGCAATCACATTTACAGCAGCGCTTCTTTAACGACTTTAACTTCCTTAACTCTTTCAACGCCACTCGACGCGTAAAAGCAACGCGGCACGCGCATGCGCACTCCAGTAGCGTACACTGCAAGCATTTAAACGGTGGCACCAGCGCGTTCAAATCTCGCCACGGAAGCACTCGAGTGTTCATTAGACAAAGTTCAACGCGAAAGCGTTAATGGCCATCTTACTTTCGCTCTCGAGTTTCTCGTTCCCCTTATTACTTTGTAGAACACCCTGTATAACCTAAATACGGTATATACACACAGGTATGGTATATATAAGCGAGCCTGTCGTCTACAGGCCGCCACGACGGAAAGTGTACTCAGTCAAGCTGTCGAAGGGCAAGGCACTAAATTCGCGCCGTGCAATTTCCGGGAGCAAAGCCGAGAGGCTCGCGCGAGCAAAATGACGAGATCGCGTGTGGGTACTGTGCACATCGTATATGTGCAGCGCCGTGGCACACGTGCACACGCAATATCCCCACTTCAAGCGTATACGGAGCGACGATAAAGTGACGAGTGCCTCGAAGTGTTGTGAACGCTCGCGCTTTTCGCTAGAACGTTCTTAATTATGACACTCGTTTATCCTCGTTGGTTTTAACGCCGGTATCTCTTGTTTCTTGCATGCATATACTATATTTCTATATTCACTAACACATTCACACGAAAATAAATTATGTCACTAACCTCCAGGTTTCTTTGTCCATCCTGACATTCTCGTCCTTGACTAAATAAAGTTTGTTTTATACTGGGCCTCGCTTTCTCCCCCACTTTGATTCATATGTCTTGCTATGCAATTTTGCGTCACGTTTACTTTGGTGGGAATTTCAAATCCGTTTGCCAAATAAATAATATCTATATATGTGGCAATCGTATTACTATTTTATAGTTGGTAATTATTATCTTCATTCGACAAATTTTTCTGAAATCAATTGTCAAATCGAATTTTATCAATTTGATGATTTTTGATTTTTGAAATGTATTCTGTGCATTCCTAATTTTTCTAATTTATTTCTATCCTTTTTCATTCATGATCATTTAATATTATTCTTCTGGAGGAGGGAGGAGAATAGTCAATGAATATGTCGATAAAACATTTAAGTATTTTCTCTTGAGTATGTATTTTATATCTTGACCTATTAAATATTAATTTCAAAATAAATATTAAATATAAAGATTTCACTGAATATATTATTATTATATATATAAAATATTAATATTAATATATATATTAATAAATATCTTTAGTGAGACATCTTTGAATATCGATCGAATAAAAATTAAAACGAATACAAAAGTTGTTATATAAAAATCGATCAAAGCTTATTTATTAAATTATAAGTAATTTAAGTTGGTATTAGATGAAACGAGACAAAAATAAAATGCAATAACAATGTAATGGAAACAGCAATCTCGTTCTATTTTTCTCTCCTTTCATCTAACATAAATTAAAATTATATATTATTTATAATAAATAAACAACGATATTGTTATATATCAATTTTTGCATTTATTTTGACTCCTAGAATCGATTTTCTAAAAATATTCTATAAATATATTATATATTTATATAAATATATACATATAGATATTATATATATATAAAAATTATATACATATATATTATCCTTTTATTGTATATCAAGTTTCAAAATCAATTATATCGTTTACTAAACATGTTTTGAATGACTAGAATTGCATGTTCAAGCTTTCGACACCATTTTTTGAATACATTGCGCAAACTATTTTGCTACCGCGGCCGTGAACGTTGAAAATATGACAATGTTGGCCGTTATGTTTTGTGCACGCCTACTGACTGCTATAATCAGCCAGTGACTATCGATATATAAAAAGTTGATAAATGAGCAAACTATTTTGCTACCGCGAAATTCGAACAAGGATGATTTAGGTTTCGTTTGCTGGCACATAGTACGTAACGCACATAGATGTAGGAGGCGCGAGAGCGCGAGTCAACGACCTCGATGATAATCCAGACGATCAATAACTCTTCCAGGGAGTTCGAGAAGGCGAAAAGGAGCGAAGAATTAATCGAGAGAATCGTTGTGGCATCATGAGCAGCACAAGACATAAAATGCGGGCAAAAAAGGAATAATTTAGCATAATTTTCTCAAAGATGTATGCATGAGAAGCTTAACAACATAAATACACAATTGATATATTGACTTAATCATCGATTGTTTGCGATATACCATAAACACGTGATGCCATGACCTATAATACAAAAGGAAATTAATTTTAATGAGAAATAGTGGTAATGGAAAAAAATTATTATTAGAATGAACTATTATTAAAATGAACTATTACTAAAATCAAGATTTGTTTGTTTAATGAATAATGCGATTAAGATAAGAATAAAATGGAAAATGAATTATATTTACTAGAAAAAAATACTCACAAATTAGCGTGAAAAGTTGAAATTTTTATAGAAATAAAAAAAAATTTTATAAAATAAGATTTTGTAGATATAAAATTATATTAATTATCTACAATTATCTACAATATATTCTTTTGAAAATGATATATTAGATAAACAAGTATATATATAATATCTAAATATTATATTTGTATAATATCCAAATTTTATTTTAGTTCATTAGTTTTAATATATTTAATTTGAACGGTAGCGTTAATAGTTATTATCACTTATAAATCGTTTATACCATTGATTACGTCGATGGTAGCCGAAAAATAAATGTTAATGAAAAAAAATTAATATTTACTAATGTCTAATATTGGTGAATATTGATGAATATGAAATAATATATACATTATTTTTAATAAAAAATGCAATCTGTTCATAATTGCTGTATTTTTTCAAATAAATATACAATTTTTTCAATATATATAATAATATTTGTTATTTTAATATTTTTTTGATAAATTAAAAAACATTTAATTTTTATTGAAAAGAATTTTTTTATCTCTAAGTATTTTAGAATTATATCTTAAAGAACTTAGAGAATTATTCCATATTTTAAAATTGAGTTAGTAGCTAAGAAGAATAAAAAGTATCCATCTAACAAGAATATGTATTTATTTTTAGTTGTTTTTCAATTTTTAAAATTTGATTGTTTGCAATCTTTCTTATCAATACAAAAATTTAAAGAGAAGAAGTATCATCAAAAGTATCATATTTCTATATATTATAATATAATCTTACAATCATACAATCTTTTAAAATATAAATATATATTTACTCGTTTATCATTTTTCCTCTCATATTCGTTTATTGGAATTCCCAGAAAGAAGTCTTTAACTAAAGCGTGCTTCCAATCTATCACTAAATTCATCTCGCCTTCTTTTTTCACCCTAACTCCTTCATTTTTAACTCATCGTCCACGGAACCAGCGCACAACCATTACGTATTACCCGGTATATACCACTTTCATGTACAATATTTTTCGGATGAAATGCGTGTACTAGTGGCGTCGGCGTTTCCTGACGTTATCCAGAAACAAATGGACTTTTAAATTGCACTCGTGAGCCCCCACCTGTAGTCGCAGCTAGCGGGCCCTCGCAATGGCCGCCGATAACGGATGCAGCCGTGCACTCGCGACAAATTTGTACCATTATATTTCCGTATTTACTTTGCAGCGCGGACCGCGGGGCCAGTGCTTTGTTCTACGCGTAATTACGTTCCCTGGTGCTTAATTCACGACGATTAAATTGCACTCCTCCCTCCTTCCGCTCTTTCTATCCCCACGCTCGTTAATTTTCCCGAAATAAGTGCATCATGCGATCATCAGAACTTTTGGAGGCCATGCACTATTACCGTTTCATCATATTCGGTGAGACAAGGAATAATTTACTCGGGAGTAATATTTCATCTCTGTGTGTGCAACAGTGTATAATCTTCGATCTATAACATCGCTTTTTGCGAAAAGTAATGGGTCATACTTATGCTAGATGGAATTCGATTTGCCGAGTTGCGAGATAAGAGAAAACTGGTTAAGCGCGTTAAGCGCGTTTTTATGATTCTTGATAGTGGTGTTACTTGATTGCCGGTGGGAAAATGTTATTAGGTTTTAACATATAAAATATTCGTTTGAATTTCATGTTCTTCCTCTAATTATATAATAGGTAGATGATGATATCTATTACTAGCATAATTGAATGTTAGTTTATGTTTTTTCGTTTTTTTGATTTGAAATAAGATAAGAGTTTCTGATTATTTATATTTTTTTTTATGAATATGAATATATTTTTGAATTCGAATAATTTACAATTTTAAATTTATGAATTTAATTTTTGATTATGATGAATTATGAATTTAAAATAATTATTTTTTAAAGAAAAACATAGATACGTTTTATTAATAAACGTAGATATATCATTGGTTTTTTTTTAAATCTATTTAACTATAAATAATATAGTTATATATAATATATTAGTGAGACAGAAAATTCTCCTCTTCTTCGAAAATTTTAAAGATTAAAATTCAGAAGAATAATATTGTTCACAAACAATATATCTGGAAATATTTTATCATTAGAAAAATTTATTCTAACAAATAATTAATAATCATTCAAAGAAAGCAAAATCATTATATTATCTTCCAAACAAAATACCATTCCAAAACTAAAATTAAAAAAAAATGATTTACCTTAATATTTTTTGTAAATATCGAAATTTTTATGAAACCATATATGTTTCAATGCATATTTTAATTTTATTTATAATTTTATCTTTTTAAATTAAAGATTATAACACTTGAATTAGTTTTAAAATAAGGAATATAAATAATTAAAATAAAAATAAAATATTTTTTTCTACTTTTTAAGATATATTGAAAAGTTTAAAGTTCTATTTTTTATAATTTTTAAATAAAGTTCTATGTATTTTTTAGGAATCAATTCTAATTTTGTTCTTAATAAACTCGGCATAAAGAAAATGATAGAAACTTAAATTTCCATATACGTTTCGAAATATAATAAAGAATAATTTAATTAATAGATTAACAGATTATATAATTATAAATATAAATCTGCAATAAAATTTACTTACTTCTAGTATTTACATATTTAAAAGTCTAATCATGAACAATAATTAAGCTATAGCACAAATATCACTTCCATATAAAGAGAGTTCACCCATATTTATAGTCGCTAGCTAACAATAACGTTTTATGAATGCAAATTGCTTATTCAAGGCGCGTGCTCTCATCATCAGAGAGAAGTTTGCGGCTTCGGTAAAGGTGACACAATATTTCGATGACGCTTCTGTAACAAGTAGAAAAGGGAGAGAGAAACACTTACGTTAGCTGTAACCAGTAATTTAATTAAGCAACTGTCTTTAGTTGCAGACCGCGCGCGCGCGCGATCCTATTCAACGTAGAAGTTGCATTATACTGTCTTTGCAAATTAATAACAGGTATTATCTGACGGCTGGATTTCGCGGCATTAAGATACCGTCTTGCGGAGGGAGAGGGAAAATTATCTTTTCCCGTACTTTCAGACGTCGGTGAAAGCCAGACGTTGCATTACGAATTGAATTACGCTATGAAAGCGCGGAAGATGCAGTTTCGAGTCGCTATTGTTACGCAATGAACAGTATTACGCATTAAGCTGCATTCCAAATAGAATCGTTATCAGGTTGTATTTGATGCGAAACATTTTAACGGGCGAGATAAGTATGTTTTGTCAGTTTTCATGTTTTTCTGTACGATAAAAATACTCTTATATATAGAAAAAATGCATTTTAATCTGAAAAACGAATATGTGAAAGATCATGATTTTTTTTTGATAATTCGAAAAAAAATTTTTATAAATACGAGTTGATATCTAATCGAATATAGATAATGTTATCTTTATGCATTTGATTATGAATTTTATTGCATCGAAATTTTTATTTTTAAATTGTGCATAAATTGTGCAAACGAATCGATAAAATTTAATTTATATTATTTAATTTATTATTATTTAATTATATTTAATTTATATATTATTTTTAAATATATAAATATTTTTATATTATATATATTTTTTATCGGTAAAGTTTTCTTTTTTTTTTATTTTATATTAAATATTTTTTTTTAAGAAAATAATTTCAGCTTATATTTTTAAATCAAATAAACTCCAACAAATTTACGAATTTCTGACTTATGAATAATTCTTAACAACTAATTAAAACATAAAAGTAAAAATTTTTTTGTATCAATAAATATAACAAAGCAGAAGAAAAAATGTCTCAAAATTCAACTAATTAATTATTTTTATATATAATATATTTTTATTTAAATCAGAAACAAATATATAAAAGATAAAAATTATTTGAAAAAAATTTTAACGAATAATAGTTTGAAATAAAAAATTTAATGCTGTGTTATTTAATAGCTGCAATAAACGCAGTTAAGAAAAAATATCTCAAAGTCATGATTATAGAAAGAAATACGCCTTATCAATATTAAAAAATAAGTAGTAGCTATAAAATCGAAATGATTCGAACAAAATATTTGTATCGAAATATATTCATATTAAGAATAGAGAACACTACGTAATCGAATATGCTAGATACTAAAAAACAGAATTTGAAAAAAAAGATATCTTTTAAAATAGGAAAAAAAAATATATATATATAATTTATAGAATATATTTATCTCAAAAAAATGTTCTTTTCAAATAGAACAAACATTTAATCAAATCCTATAATTTAACAATTACGTGGAAAAAACGGATAAAACAAGAAATTAAAGTTAAAAAAGGAAGGTGTCTCAAAGTTCCACAACTCTTCCGACTTCTAATGAAATTCTTCGAATGCACCGGATTTCCTGGTTGGACGTCGACAAAAGAAGGGACCGACCGCGATCGAACTCATTATAAAATCGAACCGTTCTAGGAGGATGCAACGACGCGACGTTCAAGCTAAAATCATTCCTGACACGTAATCCTGTTACCGACGGAGGCAAAGGAAGCGAAGACCGAACAAAGCGTCCAATTAAAATTATGCAACGTCCATTGTGCTCGTTATCGCGTGCCTATCATCGATAGAATCAACAACGACTTCGAGAACTTGTGTCCTCCGATGAAAACGATCGAAGAACAAGAACGAGAAGAAATTTCATCGCCGAATTTCTCACCATTCGTAACTATCCTAACCGAAATCGGTGACAAATTCGTTTTCCTCGCTGCCGGGTTTCCGTATTTACTTCTGCTACGCTGCTTTGTCCTCGCGTAATTACGTTCTGCGGTGGTTTAACAGCCGACAATTACTCGCCTGCTAGTTGTTAATTTCCCTTGGAATAAAAGACGACAACGACATCGCTATACCGATGAGGCGTAATATCAGAGGGAGGAACCGTGATACCGATCTTACGATTTTGCACGAGGTATAAAGACGATCCCCTTGGTTCCATTTGGGCTCGATAAACGGGACTTACCGACAACGGAGGTTTCGCAATGGTGACGTTATCACAGTGTGCGGAGACATAACTGGCACTTTGTTGAATTGACTAAATTTTAAAGGAGACGCGTGGGTTGCAGTTAGACATGAGTTTGATATGAAGTAGGCTTGATTATGTCATTTCTATGAATTTAAAAACTGACTTTGGTTTTGAAAAATTTATATAGGTTATTAGAATTGTAAATGAATTAAGTTTTTATAATGTTTTGTGAATTTGGTTTTTAAATCATATTTGCGATCTTTGTAGTCAAAGATTTTCATGAATGTTTAATATTCTTTTCATCAATTCATAGTCCAACTTTATTTATTTATTGATTTGCAAATCAATTTAAATTTATTTTAATATCATTATTATTATTATTTAAATTAAAAGAAATTATTTTTACTCTCTTCCTAGTCAAAGATTTTCAATTTGTACATTATTTTTTTTTATCGATTGAAACTCCAAGTTTATAATTTTATTATTAAAATTTTTACGTAATTAAAATATATTTTGCAAGTCATAATCATATAATTTTTAAGTAAATTTTATTTAATTTTATATTTAACTCTAGAATTATTCCATTTGATATAAAATTATAAAATTAAATTTAAAGATAAGCTTATAACTTATAATTTATAACTTTTATTATAATTAAAATTTTGTCAAATGATTAATATTTATAATTATATGATTATTAAGTTAAACAATTATTATTAAATTATTATACAAAAGAATCCAGATTGAAATCATAAGTTGAATATTTTAAAATAGACGAAAATAACCTCATATTAATTTTTCGTATTAATTCTATTTGTCAATTGTTTAATAATTCTAGTATTCATTCTTTAATGCTTTTTGATTATATAATATTTAATTTGATTAAATAATATTTAAAATAAATAATCATAACACAAATAATATTAAAATATTTAAAATATTACTAGAAGTATCATGACATAAAAGAAAGAATTATTGAATGAAAAGAACTTTCCTTAAATTTTCATAATTACAATATGAGTTATGAGTAAATGCAATTTGAAATTCGAAAAAAAATTTTCGTTGATTTCTATTACACTGTAATATCCGGTGAATTATACGTAATGGAGATTTTCACATCGATTACGATCACCCAAACAAAAACCGGTCGTTCATAAGATTTTATTTTGTAATGTGTTACATAAAATTCTTGCGTAAGTCTTACTCTCGAATGCGTTGCCGGATTCCTTAAGATCCAGCTTCCGTAACTTGGCCACGAATCGATGAGAGAAAAGGGGAACCGGTGTTTTCAA